CTGCTATATCATATCTAAATACTGCTATATTATATCTAAATACTGCTATGTTATCATATCTAAATACTGCTATATTATATCTAAATACTGCTATATTATCATATCTAAATACTGCTATATTATCATATCTAAATACTGCTATGTTATCATATCTAAATACTGCTATATTATATCTAAATACTGCTATATTATCATATCTAAATACTGCTATATTATATCTAAATACTGCTATATCATATCTAAATACTGCTATATTATATCTAAATACTGCTATATTATATCTAAATACTGCTATATCATATCTAAATACTGCTATATCATATCTAAATACTGCTATGTTATTATATCTAAATACTGCTATATTATATCTAAATACTGCTATATTATATCTAAATACTGCTATATTATATCTAAATACTGCTATGTTATCATATCTAAATACTGCTATGTTATCATATCTAAATACTGCTATATTATATCTAAATACTGCTATGTTATCATATCTAAATACTGCTATATCATATCTAAATACTGCTATATTATATCTAAATACTGCTATATTATATCTAAATACTGCTATATCATATCTAAATACTGCTATATCATATCTAAATACTGCTATGTTATATCTAAATACTGCTATATCATATCTAAATACTGCTATATCATATCTAAATACTGCTATATTATATCTAAATACTGCTATATCATATCTAAATACTGCTATATCATATCTAAATACTGCTATATCATATCTAAATACTGCTATATCATATCTAAATACTGCTATATCATATCTAAATACTGCTATATCATATCTAAATACTGCTATGTTATCATATCTAAATACTGCTATGTTATTATATCTAAATACTGCTATATTATATCTAAATACTGCTATATTATATCTAAATACTGCTATATCATATCTAAATACTGCTATATCATATCTAAATACTGCTATGTTATCATATCTAAATACTGCTATGTTATTATATCTAAATACTGCTATATTATATCTAAATACTGCTATATTATATCTAAATACTGCTATATTATATCTAAATACTGCTATGTTATCATATCTAAATACTGCTATGTTATTATATCTAAATACTGCTATGTTATATCTAAATACTGCTATATCATATCTAAATACTGCTATATTATATCTAAATACTGCTATATTATATCTAAATACTGCTATATTATATCTAAATACTGCTATATTATATCTAAATACTGCTATATCATATCTAAATACTGCTATATTATATCTAAATACTGCTATATTATATCTAAATACTGCTATATCATATCTAAATACTGCTATATTATATCTAAATACTGCTATATTATATCTAAATACTGCTATGTTATCATATCTAAATACTGCTATGTTATCATATCTAAATACTGCTATGTTATCATATCTAAATACTGCTATATCATATCTAAATACTGCTATATTATATCTAAATACTGCTATATCATATCTAAATACTGCTATATTATCATATCTAAATACTGCTATGTTATCATATCTAAATACTGCTATATTATATCTAAATACTGCTATATTATCATATCTAAATACTGCTATATTATCATATCTAAATACTGCTATATTATCATATCTAAATACTGCTATATTATATCTAAATACTGCTATATTATCATATCTAAATACTGCTATATTATATCTAAATACTGCTATATTATCATATCTAAATACTGCTATATCATATCTAAATACTGCTATATTATATCTAAATACTGATATATCATATCTAAATACTGCTATATCATATCTAAATACTGCTATATTATCATATCTAAATACTGCTATATTATATCTAAATACTGCTATATTATCATATCTAAATACTGATATATCATATCTAAATACTGCTATATTATATCTAAATACTGATATATCATATCTAAATACTGCTATATCATATCTAAATACTGCTATATCATATCTAAATACTGTTATATCATATCTAAATACTGCTATATTATATCTAAATACTGCTATATCATATCTAAATACTGCTATATTATCATATCTAAATACTGCTATATTATGTCTAAATACTGCTATATTATCATATCTAAATACTGCTATATCATATCTAAATACTGCTATATTATATCTAAATACTGCTATATCATATCTAAATACTGCTATATTATCATATCTAAATACTGCTATATTATATCTAAATACTGCTATGTTATCATATCTAAATACTGCTATGTTATTATATCACATCACCTTTGTATCAAATAAAATCAAAGTTTATTTATAAAGCACATTTAAAAGCAATTGTTGGTCGGGCCAAAGTGCTGTACGTGTAATAAATACTACAATCACAATAAAAGACAATAAATTACAACAGAAATATAAAAAACACAGGGAAAAGTCAGGAGTCGTGCTCCGCTCTGACTAGAAGGCCAGGGAGAAGAAGTGAGTCTTTAAGTGTTGATTTAAAAACCCCAGGGTCTGGGCCCACCTCACATGGAGGGGCAGAGTGTTCCAGAGCCTGGGGCCAGCCGCTGCGAAGGCTCGGTGCCCTCTGGTTTTGAGCCTGGTCTTAGGCACTATCAGCAGCAGCTGATCAGCCGGCCTTAAGGCTCTGGGGTGTAGCGATGGAGGAGTTCAGCTACATAGGAGGAGCCCATTTAGGGCTTTGAAAACAAATACAAGGAGTTTAAAATCTATTCTGAACCGAACTGGAAGCCGGTGCAGTGAGGCCAGAATTGGGGTGATATGGTCACGCTTGTTATGGCCAGTGAGAAGACGTGCAGCTGCGTTCTGAACTAGCTGCAGGCGTCTAATTGAGGCCTGGTCCATACCCACATACAGAGCGTTGCAGTAATCCAGTCTCGAGGTAACAAAGGCGTTAATAACCCTTTCTAGGTCTTTAAAAGATAAAAACGACTTGGTCTTAGCCAATAGTGGTATTTTGAAAAAGCAGGTCTTGACTACAGTGCTAACCTGCTTATCAAATTTAAAGGCGCTGTTGAAGGTCACTCCAAGTTTCATGACAGAGGGGAGGATGTTTTTACTGAGGGAGCCCAGAATATCAACCAGAGAGGCTGGAGGTCGGGGTCCAAAAAAGATGACCTCAGTCTTGCTCTCATTGAGGTTGAGTAAGTTTTGGCTCAGCCAGGATTTAATCTCTATTAAGCAGTCCTTCAACTGCTGTAGTCAGTTGGCATTTTGATTGAGAGGCAGATAGATCTGTACATCATCAGCGTAACAATGGAAGGGGATATTATATTTTGTGAGAATTGAGCCTAGGGGCAGTATGTACAATAGAAAAAGGATGGGGCCCAGGATCGAGCCTTGGGGAACCCCACAGGTAAGAGGGGCTTTGGCAGAGGAGAAGGCACCTAGCTGCACTGAGAAGCTACGGTCTGTCAGGTAAGACCTGAACCATGCAAGAGTAGAGTCTGTGATGCCTGCGGACTGTTCAAGCCGTGACAACAGGATGCTATGGTCCACAGAGTCAAAGGTAGCTGTCTAAAAACTCTTCAAAGGGCTGTTTCATTGCTGTGCATAGGTTTAAAGCCAGACTGAAACTTTTCATGGACACCATGCGTGGTTAAGAACGACTGCAGCTGGGCATAGACTACTCGCTCCAGGGCTTTAGATAAAAAGGGTAGCTGGGAGATGGGCCTGAAATTTGCGAGAATGGAGGGATCGAGATTTGTCTTTTTAGTGGCTGGACCATGGCATGTTTGAAGGCAGCTGGGACACATCCTGAGCTAAGAGAGGTGTTTACAAGCAATAAAACACTTGCTCCAACTGATTCAAAAACATCTCTAAGGAAGCGAGAGGGAATGCTGTCTGAAGTGCAGTTTGTCGGCCGCAGGTGCTTGACTACATCCGAGAGAGAAGAGAGGGATACAGGCTCAAAGTGGTCGAGGACAGCAGGGCACAGAAAGGGAGCAGGATCTGGGGTAGCACTAGTATAGGCTAGCCTAAGAGCAGATACTTTTTCAATAAAAAATGTAAGAAATGTATCGCAGAGAGTAGTCGATGGCACAATTGGAGAAACATCACAAAGATTAATGATCAAGTCGAGGACATTAAAAAGAACCTGAGGTTTATGGCTGTTTTTGGAGATGAACAGAGAAATGTACTCTGCTTTGGCTTTGACTGCCGTCTGGTAGTCAGAGAGGCAAGCACGAATATATGTATGTTAATAAAGTGTCCCTGGTGCTGTCGGAGGAGTAACAGAGCTCTATATAACACACACACACACACACACACACACACACACACACACACACACACACACACACACACACACACACACACACACACAACACACACACACACACACACACACACACACACACACACACACACACACTGTGTTTAGAGTGTCTGGGGTACTTCCTGTGTGAGGATCTCCTTATAAGGATGTTGGTCCAGATGTTTCTTCAAAGGACAGAGTGAGCGTCCAATCAGAGAGGAGACCTACTGAGTGCGCTCAGTGCGTCGCTGAGGGCAGAAAGAGCAAGGCTGTAATACAAATAAAATAGAAATAGTGCCAGAAGAGTCTGTATACAAGTACATGGAATATGAGATATAGATAAGTAATTAGCAAGATGCAAACAGATGAATGTTTATGGATGTTCTTCACAGAGTTCAGGTGTTTAAATAAAGTGTTGACTTCATCAGCGTCACTGCAGTGTTTAAATAAAGTGTTGACTTCATCAGCGTCACTGCAGTGTTTAAATAAAGTGTTGACTTCATCAGCGTCACTGCAGTGTTTAAATAACGTTTTCTTGAGGTCTGCCGCCGGTTGTTTTTCAGTTTTCTGTTAGATGTGTTTCTGACTGAGACCAGAAAGGAATCTGAGGAATTCCTTCATTAACCCTTTATCTCCCCCTTTTATCTTCCCCTCCCCCTCTCTCTCTCCCTCTCCCTCCCTCCCCTCTCCCCCTCCCTCTCGCCCCCCCTCCCTCTCGCCCCCCCCCAGGAGGAGAAGAAGTGCTTCCTGTGTGACTCTCAGTCTCTCTACGACCAGCTGACAGGACAGAGCAGCGGCCATCGAGTGGAGAACCTGGTGACGACCTTTAATAACAGACTGAAGACCTGGTGGCAGTCTGAGAACGGTGAGGGGGGGTACCTGAGGGGGGGGGCAATAACACACCTGGGGGGGGAGTGTCAAAGGTCTTTACATACTACGAGTCATTCACCCATTCACACCTCATTCACACATTCACTCAAATCAAGTTTTATTTATATAGCACATTTATAAACGATGTTTGGTGGAGCCAAAGTGCTGAACATATAATAAAAATAGCCTACAGTAGAGACTCTTTACAGAAAATACAACAACACAGATTGTTCAGAGTATCAGTATGAGAAAAACGACACCCTCTGTCCTTAGACCCTCTATCCTTAGACCCTCTGTCCTTAGACCCTCTGTCCTCAGACCCTCTGTCCATTCACACATTCATTCATTCACACATTCATTCATTCACACATTCACACAGACCCGGCTGCCATCCCCAATAAACACGTTTTATTTTCTTTATAAAAGAAATACAATTTATTTGTATTTTATTTTTGTAATTATAAATAAACTGTGAACTTTAAGGCTGCGAGCTGCGGGTGTACTGTGTACGTGCTTTGGGGAGTGTTGCAGTAGAACATTCCACTGTAGCGCCGGTACCTTAATGGGAAACCCTACATGTTGAAACGTCAAACTACCCCACAGCACCCAAAAGAACATCTCTGGCGCCGATACTGGCCGCGGCACATGGCGGTTTTGTTCATGGTTCTCCCATGAAAATCATATGCCCTCTCTGTAGATTTGTTCTGGCGCCGGGTCTGCATTCAGACATTCACACACAGTCGGGGGGTTTGTTGTCACAGTTTGTCTGTAGTTTGTTGGTGACCGTGATGATATCTGCAGGTCTGGAGAACGTCACCATCCAGCTGAACCTGGAGGCAGAGTTTCACTTCACACACCTCATCATGACCTTCAAGGTGAGTCTACACACACACTACACACACCTCATCATGACCTTCAAGGTGGGTCTACACACACACTACACACACCTCATCATGACCTTCAAGGTGGGTCTACACACACACTACACACACCTCATCATGACCTTCAAGGTGGGTCTACACACACACTACACACACCTCATCATGACCTTCAAGGTGGGTCTACACACACACTACACACACCTCATCATGACCTTCAAGGTGAGTCTACACACACACCTCATCATGACCTTCAAGGTGAGTCTACACACACACTACACACACCTCATCATGACCTTCAAGGTGGGTCTACACACACCTCATCATGACCTTCAAGGTGAGTCTACACACACACTACACACTCCTCATCATGACCTTCAAGGTGGGTCTACACACACACCTCATCATGACCTTCAAGGTGAGTCTACACACACACTACACACACCTCATCATGACCTTCAAGGTGGGTCTACACACACACCTCATCATGACCTTCAAGGTGGGTCTACACACACACCTCATCATGACCTTCAAGGTGGGTCTACACACACACTACACACACCTCATCATGACCTTCAAGGTGGGTCTACACACACACCTCATCATGACCTTCAAGGTGGGTCTACACACACACCTCATCATGACCTTCAAGGTGGGTCTACACACACACCTCATCATGACCTTCAAGGTGAGTCTACACACACACACACACACACACACACTACACACACCTCATCATGACCTTCAAGCCAAACCCCACATGGACCGTCAGTTCTCTGGTTACTGGCATCAACACCTGACATGAACACACATATAATAATAACTTAAGTGTTTCTCATGATATTAGCTTAAGAATTTCTCATTATATTAGGTTAAGGGTTAAAGTGTTTCTCATGATATTAGGTTAAGTGTTTCTCATGATATCAGGTTAAGTGTTTCTCGTGATATCAGGTTAAGTGTTTCTCGTGATATCAGGTTAAGTGTTTCTCGTGATATCAGGTTAAGTGTTTCTCGTGATATCAGGTTAAGTGCTTCTCATGATATCAGGTTAAGTGTTTCTCGTGATATCAGGTTAAGTGTTTCTCGTGATATCAGGTTAAGTGTTTCGCGTGATATCAGGTTAAGTGTTTCTCGTGATATCAGGTTAAGTGCTTCTCGTGATATCAGGTTAAGTGTTTCTCATGATATCAGGTTAAGTGTTTCTCGTGATATTAGGTTAAGTGTTTCTCGTGATATCAGGTTAAGTGTTTCTCGTGATATCAGGTTAAGTGTTTCTCATGATATCAGGTTAAGTGTTTCTCATGATATTAGGTTAAGTGTTTCTCGTGATATCAGGTTAAGTGTTTCTCGTGATATCAGGTTAAGTGTTTCTCGTGATATTAGGTTAAGTGTTTCTCGTGATATCAGGTTAAGTGTTTATCGTGATATCAGGTTAAGTGTTTCTCGTGATATCAGGTTAAGTGTTTCTCGTGATATCAGGTTAAGTGTTTCTCGTGATATCAGGTTAAGTGTTTCTCGTGATATCAGGTTAAGTGTTTCTCGTGATATTAGGTTAAGTTTTTCTCGTGATATCAGGTTAAGTGTTTCTCGTGATATCAGGTTAAGTGTTTCTCATGATATCAGGTTAAGTGTTTGCATGATATTTAAGTGTATTTTCCCTTCAGACGTTCCGACCCGCTGCCATGTTGATCGAGCGCTCGTCGGACTTCGGGAAGACGTGGCAGGTTTATCGATACTTCGCCTACGACTGTGAGAGTGCGTTCCCGTCCGTCTCCCAGGGGCCCATGCAGAAGGTCGATGACATCATCTGTGACTCGCGTTACTCCGACATCGAGCCGTCCACCGAGGGAGAGGTACTGTCTTCATGTCCCCATAGTAATCTAATCTAATGGGAGATTCAGGGTCCCGAGATTCAATAAAGTCCGCCTGAAGCATCCTTTGTGCTCCAGTCCTCTCAGTAAACACAGAGCTGAATCCAGATCAGATGCACACTGAAGGCTCTTTGAGCAGCTCTCAGGGTTAGGGTTACACATGGAGCTGCTGGGATGCAAGGAGCATTTCAGACTTGATCCGACCAATAAAGTATTATCCTATCATATCGTACTAAAGAGGAGAGCAAGGTCAAAGGCCATTTCTTCCATTGATGAAATGTCCCTTTTAATGCAGGTGATCTTCAGAGTCCTGGACCCGGTGTTCAGGATCGAAGACCCCTACAGCCCCAGAATCCAGAGTAGGTCTCTTCACTGTTCACATTATTTTTAACTACTGTTTATTGTTGATCAGTTGTCCGTCAGTGACCTGTTGTCTTGTGCTCAGACATGTTGAAGATCACCAACCTGCGGGTGAAGTTCACCAGACTGCACACGCTGGGGGACAATCTGCTGGACTCCCGGGTCGAGATCAAGGAGAAGTACTACTACGCCATCTTCGACATGGTGGTGCGAGGAAACTGCTTCTGCTACGGACATGCATCTGAGTGCGCCCCCGTGGAGAGAGACCGCCAGACCAGCGAAGGCATGGTGAGTTAAACCACGTCCACATCCTGACCCTCAAAGGAAGTCCAACTGTACCCTCAAAGGGAGTCCAACAGTCCCCTGACTCTCAGAGAAAGTCCAACAGTACCCTGACCCTCAAAGAAAGTCCAACAGTACCCTGACCCTCAAAGAAAGTCCAACAGTACCCCTGACCCTCAGAGAAAGTCCAACAGTACCCTGACCCTCAAAGAAAGTCCAACAGTACCCTGACCCTCAAAGAAAGTCCAACAGTACGCTGACCCTCAAAGAAAGTCCAACAGTACCCTGACTCTCAGAGAAAGTCCAACAGTACCCTGACCCTCAAAGAAAGTCCAACAGTACCCTGACCCTCAAAGAAAGTCCAACTGTACACTGACCCTCAAAGAAAGTCCAACAGTACCCTGACCCTCAAAGAAAGTCCAACAGTACCCTGACCCTCAAAGAAAGTCCAACAGTACCCTGACCCTCAGAGAAAGTCCAACAGTACCCTGACCCTCAAAGAAAGTCCAACAGTACCTTGACCCTCAAAGAAAGTCCAACAGTACGCTGACCCTCAAAGAAAGTCCAACAGTACCCTGACTCTCAGAGAAAGTCCAACAGTACCCTGACCCTCAAATAAAGTCCAACAGTCCTTTCAAAGGGAGTCTAACAGTCCCCTGACTCTCAGAGAAAGTCCAACAGTACCCTGACCCTCAAAGAAAGTCCAACAGTACCCTGACCCTCAAAGAAAGTCCAACAGTACCCTGACCCTCAGAGAAAGTCCAACAGTACCCTGACCCTCAGAGAAAGTCCAACAGTACCCTGACCCTCAAAGAAAGTCCAACAGTCCCTTCAAAGGGAGTCCAACAGTCCCCTGACTCTCAGAGAAAGTCCAACAGTACCCTGACCCTCAGAGAAAGTCCAACAGTACCCTGACCCTCAGAGAAAGTCCAACAGTACCCTGACCCTCAAAGAAAGTCCAACAGTACCCTGACCCTCAAAGAAAGTCCAACAGTACCCTGACCCTCAAAGAAAGTCCAACAGTACCCTGACTCTCAGAGAAAGTCCAACAGTACCCTGACCCTCAAAGAAAGTCCAACAGTACCCTGACCCTCAAAGAAAGTCCAACAGTACCCTGACCCTCAAAGAAAGTCCAACTGTACACTGACCCTCAAAGAAAGTCCAACAGTACCCTGACCCTCAAAGAAAGTCCAACAGTACCCTGACCCTCAGAGAAAGTCCAACAGTACCCTGACCCTCAAAGAAAGTCCAACAGTACCTTGACCCTCAAAGAAAGTCCAACAGTACGCTGACCCTCAAAGAAAGTCCAACAGTACCCTGACTCTCAGAGAAAGTCCAACAGTACCCTGACCCTCAAATAAAGTCCAACAGTCCTTTCAAAGGGAGTCTAACAGTCCCCTGACTCTCAGAGAAAGTCCAACAGTACCCTGACCCTCAAAGAAAGTCCAACAGTACCCTGACCCTCAAAGAAAGTCCAACAGTACCCTGACCCTCAGAGAAAGTCCAACAGTACCCTGACCCTCAAAGAAAGTCCAACAGTACCCTGACCCTCAAAGAAAGTCCAACAGTACGCTGACCCTCAAAGAAAGTCCAACAGTACCCTGACTCTCAGAGAAAGTCCAACAGTACCCTGACGCTCAAAGAAAGTCCAACAGTACGCTGACCCTCAAAGAAAGTCCAACAGTACCCTGACTCTCAGAGAAAGTCCAACAGTACCCTGACCCTCAAAGAAAGTCCAACAGTCCCCTTACCCTAACCAGAAAGCTGAGTTGGGCTTTGGATGGATCAAAGGTTTCTGCAGTGAACCAACAGTTAGAACTGATGGAGATCAGAAAATATCACCCACTGTTAAACTTTCAATAAACAACGAGCTCAGAAATACATCAAACAAACTCAAACTCTACGCAGATGAGATGGTACTCTTTCTTCAAGTCTGATCGGGGCAAGCATCAAAGGAAACAAAAAATCAAACAAACTCAATCTGATTTATGAATAGTTTGTTGTGAGACTTGACGGTACTTTGTGTTCAGGTTCATGGACATTGCATGTGCAACCACAACACCAAAGGTCTGAACTGTGAGCGGTGTCATGACTTCTACCACGACCTTCCCTGGAGACCTGCTGAGGGCCGAAACACCAACGCCTGCAAGAGTGAGTCCATCAGATCCTCTTCATTCTCTACTGGTCTCTACTGATCACTACTGGTCTCTACTGATCTATACTGATCTCTACTGGTCTCTACTGCTCTCTACTGCTCTCCACTGCTCTCTACTGATCTCTACTGCTCTCTACTGCTCTCTACTGCTCTCTAGTCTCTACTGCTCTCTACTGATCTCTACTGGTTTCTACTGGTCTCTACTGGTCTCTACTGCTCTCTACTGGTCTCTACTGATCTCTACTGCTCTCTGGTCTCTACTGCTCTCTACTGATCTCTACTGATCTCTACTGGTCTCTACGGCTCTCTACTGCTCTCTACTGCTCTCTGGTCTCTACTGCTCTCTACTGATCTCTACTGATCTCTACTGGTCTCTACTGATCTCTACTGGTCTTTACTGGTCTCTACTGCTCTCTACTGATCTCTACTGATCTCTACTGATCTCTACTGGTCTCTACTGCTCTCTACTGCTCTCTACTGCTCTCTACTGGTCTCTATTGCTCTCTACTGCTCTCTACTGCTCTCTACTGATCTCTACTGGTCTCTACTGATCTCTACTGGTCTTTACTGGTCTCTACTGCTCTCTACTGCTCTCTACTGGTCTCTACTGCTCTCTACTGCTCTCTACTGCTCTCTACTGATCTCTACTGGTCTCTACGGCTCTCTACTGCTCTCTACTGCTCTCTGGTCTCTACTGCTCTCTACTGCTCTCTACTGCTCTCTACTGGTCTCTACTGATCTCTACTGGTCTCTACTGGTCTCTATTGCTCTCTACTGTTCTCTACTGGTCTCTACTGATCTCTACTGGTCTCTACTGCTCTCTACTGCTCTCTACTGATCTCTACTGGTCTCTACTGCTCTCTACTGGTCTCTACTGATCTCTACTGCTCTCTACTGATCTCTACTGGTCTCTACTGATCTCTACTGGTCTCTACTGCTCTCTACTGGTCTCTACTGGTCTCTACTGGTCTCTACTGGTCTCTACTGATCTCTACTGGTCTCTACTGCTCTCTACTGATCTATACTGCTTACTACTGGTCTCTACCACCCTCTACTGGTCTCTGAGTGTCCTCTCTTCTTCGGTGGTGTTGCAGAGTGTAACTGTAACCAGCACTCGGACTCCTGTCACTTCGACGAGGCGGTGTTCGTGGCGTCGGGAAACGTGAGCGGGGGGGTTTGTGACGAGTGTCAACACAACACGGCAGGAAACAGCTGTGAGCGATGCAGACCGTTCTACTACCAACATCTGGAGAAGGATGTCCGGGACCCCAACATCTGCCAGCGTGAGTACACAGAGTACACACATAGTACACAGAGGACAGACAGAGTACACACTTCCTCTTGCACAGTTGTACTGACAGTATGACCCTATTAACCCTCTGTGTGTGTGTGTGTGTGTGTGTGTGTGTGTGTGTGTGTGTGTGTGTGTGTGTGTGTGTGTGTGTGTGTGTGTGTGTGTGTGTGTGTGTGTGTGTGTGTGTGTGTGTGTGTGTGTGTGTGTGTGTGTGTGTGTGTGTGTGTGTGTGTGTGTGTGTGTGTGTGTGTGTGTGTGTGTGTAGCCTGCAGCTGTGATCCTATTGGTTCTCTGAATGACGGCCTCTGTGATTCGCTGACGGACGTTGGTCTGGGGCTGATCTCTGGTCAGTGTCGCTGTCGAGTGAACGTGGAGGGAGAGCGCTGCGACCGCTGCCGAGACAACACGCACGGGCTGAGCAGGGAGGGGTGCACAGGTAGACGTCTCAGGACTATTATTGTGTATATTGTGTATTATTACTGTAGTATTACTGTGTTTCAGTGTGTATCATCATAGATAGAATTGATATAATTGGAGGGATGAAACCCTCTTTAATGGTCACACATGCAGAGCACACAGCACACACAGTGACATGTGTTCTCTGCTTTAACCCATCCTAGCACCAGGAGTCTAGTAGTAGGAGCAGTGGGCAGCTATTGTACAGCGCCTGGGAGCAATGGGAGTGAGGGGGGAAGGGGGGTGTCCGGTACCTTGCTCAAGGGCACCACAGCGGGGTAGGAGGTGAACTGGGACCTCTCCATATTTATCAAATCAAATCAAATCAAGTTTTATTTATATAGCACATTTATAAACGATGTTTGGTGGAGCCAAAGTGCTGTACATATAATAAAATTAGCCTACAGTAGAGACACTTTACAGCAAATACAACAGCACAGTTTGTTCAGAATATCAGCATGAGAAAAACGACACCCTCTGTCCTCAGACCCTCTATCCTTAGACCCTCTGTCCTTAGACCCCCTGTCCTCAGACCCTCTGTCCTTAGACCCTCTATCCTTAGACCCTCTGTCCTTAGACCCTCTGTCCTTAGACCCTCTATCCTTAGACCCTCTGTCCTTAGACCCCCTGTCCTCAGACCCTCTGTCCTTAGACCCTCTATCCTTAGACCCTCTGTCCTTAGACCCCCTGTCCTTAGACCCTCACATAGTACAAGGAAAACTTCCAGAGAAAACCCACAGTTTAAGGGGAAAACATATTTAGGTCTGGTCGGTGACTTGAACCGGCGACCCTACGGCTCCCAGTCCAAGCCCCTACTTTTTTTTCTTTTTTCTTTTTTTTTCTTTTTTTTTTCTCTTTTATTATCAAAAATAGACATTTAACATCTCATCATATACATACAGCATTGCTCATAATACACACATTCAATATTTCATACCACTAGCTTAAAGGTAGTGTGCCTTAAGTTTTCCGTTCAAAGTTGAAGCACAATGCACCCTCCTCATCCAGCTCAACTAGCCTGCTGCCATCCACAAAATCCTCGCAAAATGTGTCCTTTTCCACATGTATTAGCACAAGGTTAATGTCCCTTTTTACTGTCCTCTTCATTATATGCCACACCTCTGACATTTTACCCTCGAAATGGGCAATGTTCCTCCTTATTTGGACCGCACGCCTTGCATGGCTCAGAACATAATTTAAAAGATTCACATTGCATTCATCCTTCTTCTCAATCACACCAAACAGCCACAGCTCCTTCCATTCCATTTCTCTCACATACCATTCATTCCAACATCTTCCAATTAACTCTTTCATCCTTCCAAAAAAAACAACAAGCTCTTTACATTCAACAAACTCATGCAAACACGTTTCAACCTGATCCTTACACACATCACACTCTCTCTCAACAGTTGCATCAAAATGGCTAATGATCAGGTTGTTAAACACCCTATTATGCCTCAACACAAAATCAAAGTTATCACATTCAATACTGTTCCACTTCATTTTCACATTCTCCCACATTCTCCTGCCAGTCATACTGTTCACAACACTCATCCACACTTTCTGATGCAGGTCTTCTAATCACATCCCCTTTTAACCTTTTATATATTTTTTTTGTTTTCACATTTTCTATTTTTACATTGACATCCTCTTTCCCCACATATAAATCAACCACACTCTCCTTTCCTTTAACACTCTCATTCTCAATCATTGTTAACCATTCACTCGGCATTCCTTCTTTGATTTCTTCCATCATTCGTTCAGCTGTCCCTAAATACATTACTCAATCTATTTCCCTAACCTCATCCACTATCACCTGTGCCCTCATAAATCCTGGTACATACTCTAAAACTACATCCTTAACCCTCCTAATCCCCGCTCTCCTCCACATTGGCAATTG